CGGCAACAGAATTGATAGGTTGAGTGAAGATGAAGAATACAGGATGTTGATAAGGTTGTGAAATGAGTGACTGGGAGCAAAGTCTTGCTCTTCACAATAACAGAAGGCTGCAAGGGGGAGTACACTTGAGTTTAGATAATGGGTTCTGTTTTGGGCTTAGTGAATTGAGAACATTCCCTTTGAAACATCCCATAGACTGTTGGTGATAGAGAACAATAGGTATGAATGTGTGTGTCTGGAAGTTATCTGTAGAGAGATGCTCATTGAATCTGTGGGAGCTAATAAAGTAACCAATCAGTCAGTAAACATTTATTAATCTGTGTGCCAGGCACTGTACAAGTACAAGAAAAATGAGACCTCCCCTACGCATAATGAGTTTACATTCTAATGATGAGAGATTATAAAGAAAAGGCCTGGGACAGGGCCTTGAGCAGGTAACCACCCAATGAATGGGCGTGCCATAGATACTGTTTTCCTCATTTTACAGATGAAGAAAACTGAGGGAAACAGAAGTAAAGTGACTTGCCCAGGATCACATGGCTAATAAGTGTCTGCAGGCAGATTTGAACTTGGGTCTTCTTGATTCCAGGTCCAGAGCCTGATAGCCTGAACAAGGATGATGACCAGAGAAAATGCTGAGAGATGAACCAATAAGAGATCATGAGAAGTAGGGGCAGCTAGGTGGCACAGTGGATAGAGCACTGGCCTTGGAGTCAGGAGGACCTGAGTTCAAATTTGGCTTCAGACACACAACACTTACTAGCTGTGTGACTCGGAGTAAGTCATTCAACCCCAATTGCCTCCCCCTCCCCCCCAAAAAAGAGATCATGATAAGGATGAAGAATTTAGATTTAGATCAAGTGAGACAGTAAGCAGCCGCTTTGAATACCTTAACACTTACATGCATTGCTAGATTATGATCAGATGAAGAAATTTCAAAGTTCATGTTCATAAAAATGGAATACTTGTCATGCCAAGATCAAGGGTGTAACTGCCCCTCTGTGTACCTGAGATAAAATTCAAGAGCATGGGAGTTGAATAGTTTGAGGAACTGCAGGGTTGGTGGTATTTAAGGGAATATTTACATTTATTTATGTTGGAGCTCCCTTGTATAAAGGGGTAAGAGTTGACGTCGTTAGGGAAGACTAGAAGCCAAGCAGTGAATGCATTAAGAAAGAAGTGTCCAGAGGGTTAATAGAAAACAGCCTCGAGAACCTATATTGGGTGAAAAAACTGCACTGCCAAGTGCATGGCCTGATCTTTCTATTAGTCCTGTGCTCGGTGCAGCAGCCTGGGATTTCTTACAAGGTTCTCCCTGGCATAGTGCACGGCCTTGCAAGCTGGTGGTGTCTGGAGCACCTTCTTCTGCCTTTCTCTTCCACTCCGGCAGCTGCTGTGCCACTTTTGGATAGCTCTGGTGGTTAGGACTTCAGGCCTAAATTAGCTTCTTTTCAGCATCTACCCATTGCTCAAGCAGTTTGCTTTCTGAGACCAAACAAAAAAAGTCTTGCTCCCATGTCACAGCTCTTCCAATGCTTGGACAGTCGTGTTCTCCTTGAGTTTTCTCTTCTCCAAGCTAAACACGCCCCATTCTTTCAGCAGAGCCTCACACTTATTCAAGGTCCTTCACCATCTTCCCTGTCCGCGGACATTTTCCTGTTTTATTGATGTCCTTAAATTATGAAGGTCAGACCGTATTTCACTGCATAATCATTGCTACCACATAATCATCGCACCCTGGTTTTTTTGTTTTGTGTTTTTTTCCAGTCCAAAAATTGGTTTATAGCCTTTCATCTCATAATTGTCGTGTGGTATAATTCTGTTCATCGCACCCAAAAAAAAGCTTCACATAATGGTTGCACCTCACTTTTTTGCAAGAAAATTTGGCATAAAATGTGTAGCAATTATGTGGTGAAATATGCTGCTCCACCTGCGGTCTAATGAGGGCAAAGCAAAATGGGACCATCCCCTCTCAGTTCTTGGAAGCTCGGATTCTCTCCGTGCAGACCAGGATTGCATTTGCTTTTTTTGGCTTGCCATTGCATGCTGGTGACTCTCATTCACCTTGCAATGTAGTACAAGCTGTTAGATCGTTTTCAGAATACTGCTACTCAACCATGCTTCCCCCATCTTGTACTTGTGAAGTTTAGTATTTTGTACCTAAGAGTATGATTTTACATTTATCCATGTTGAGTTTCATTTTAGCCCATTACTCTTGAGTTCAGATCTCTCATTTTACAAACTGATGCCCAAATTAGGGAAAGGACTTTCCAGAGGTCACATAGTATCATTCCAAGTCAGGATTCAATTCCAGGTCTTTTCACTCATAAGGAGGAAACAACATATCTCCCATCCATTGTACCTTCCTCATTGTGTTGGCTTTCAGCATTTGTATGTAATATATTCTTCGTATCTCCCCTTCCAGAACATCATTCTTTACATTTCTCAAATGCCACACACTAGTGTTTCAGACTCGGTCTGACCTTAAGGTCTAGGGCATCGTCAGGCACAGATCCCGCCCGAGACTGATTGCGGGAAGTGGGTTGGTAGACTTGATGCTAGTGGCTCACCCTTAATGCTGAGCCTTGCATATTCCCATTCACTCTGTTGAAAATCATAGTTTTCCAAATGATTTGACTAGTTTAGAAACCTTTAGACTTTATTCTTTCCTCTTTCTGCCCCCTCTCCCCACCCCCCAGTATAATCCACTCATCCCTATCAGCCCACTTTTTTTTTAGTGCTCAGTTCTTGGGGACCCAGCTGTTCACTGATGAGAGAAAATACTATCTAAACCATATGAGTTAAGTAAAACAAACTTAAAAGTAAGAAAGAAATGTGCGTTCTCTGAACTTCCTTTGTTTATATGATTTGTTTATGTGTTGTTAAGGTTCTTGTCCAGCTGTCTCCCCACATTTCAGAAATGAACGAAGGCACAAAGGCCTGTGACTGGGAACAGATGTGGAAAGAGTTCATTTGGGAACCAAGTGCAGCATAGAAGGAAAAACACTTCATTTGCCCACCAACAGATAGTAAATTTTCCCTTTGGGCTGAGTGTGGGAGTGCCAAGAGTAGCCAGATTGACAAGCCTGAAGTTCTAGAAAGGTTGTTGACCTTCCTGGAAAACTTTCCGAAAGAAGCCTGGCAAGTGAATCCTAACTTCTTAGAGAAAAGCGTGTGTTCCCTTTCGGGGGAACCAGAATATGTGGTGGTATTGGATTCAAGTACCCAGTGTTAGACTTATATCTAATTTACTAGAAGTTCCTTTTATGTGAAATGAGGAAACAGGACTGATGAAGGTAGCACAATGTAGGATTTATTTGGTAAGAAAAGAACTTGCTTTCACTGACCCCCTCCACATACATGCCTTCAGTTGAGCCCGGACCATTCCAGAATATCTATAACAGTGCAGGCACACCCGTTACTGCGTCTTTCATATTGAGAGTTGGGTTTCGGATTTGATGTGAAGACATATCCCATTTCCAGGACCACTGGCTTTAGGACTTAGATGCCATTTTTACATTGAGCCTCTCCTCCTCAGCCTTAAATGAATTTCTTATTATGGGGAGAAGGCAGTTCAGTAGTGGCTTGGGGGGCAATGAAAATTCCTCTCTCCTGTCTCCTGAGCTTCACTTGCTGTAATTCATTCATCCAAATGTGCACTGAAATGTAAACATTTCACCATTTTGTATTGGAAGCCCCCAAACTATAGGGGAAAATGTAGACTAGACGATGAGCATTACTATTTTGAGAGAGTCCAGTCACAGCATCATCACCTGTGAATTCTTTCTAAACTTGTCACCAGTCGAGTGAGTCCTTGCTCTGCGTTGGCTGATATGGGTATTCAGTTTTAATTGCCACCCTAAGAGATCATCTCCTTAGCAACATGCTCTAAATGGGGAGAGCCCGCAAAGTGAAGTTTCAATTTATTTATGATTCTCTATTTTTTTAAAAAATTTCTCATGGTTGATTGAAGTCCTTTTTCCCTAAGTGCTTTGCATTCTGCTGAAGTGTCTGAAGCTTAGGGTCATCTCTAGCAATTGGTTTGAAGATCGCATTTTGTGCTAGGTGGGAGGCTTCCACTTTTAGCTACTTAGGATGAAGCCCTTATTGGTGAGCCTTGAGAAGGAAAAAGGAAATATCTTTGCAGAGGGTACACTCAACAAAATGACTCAGTTTGCGGTGTCAACCTTTTTTCCTTTGGGCTTTATCTGTAACCTAAAAGATCTGATTTTTTTTATAATTTTTTTTTTCATTTAAGCTTATTTATTTCCTGTACCTAGGTGCATGTTGTTTCTGCTGGCATGCAGGGGAGTGGGGAGGAAGGTATTTCTGACCTGGAAATGTGGTTTCTTTGACTCATAACCACATCAGTCTGCCCTCCCTCCCCCACTTCCTTTTCAGCATTTCCTTAGGAGGGCTCAGTTTATCACCTTTTAAGCTAAAGATGAATCATCTGGGCCTTTGGGTTAGACTGAGAGCTGGATAATGCTGCAATAACAATGCCTTTCATTTATATAATACTCAAAGTGCTTGTCATTGGAAGAGCTCGGTGTTTATAAAGCACTTTCTCTTTAATCCTCACTAGACCCCTGTGAATTAGGTCAATATTATTGTCTAGATTCTAGAAGTGGAAAAGTGAGACACAATGAGGGTTAAGTGACCTGCTCAGGGTCATAATGCTTACCAGTCACTTTGTTCCACAGTTTCTACAGCAGGATTACCTTTACAGCTCTTTGGTGGATAAGTATGTTTTCTCATGTTATGCCCCAAACATTAAAGTGTCTTGACTGTTTTCGGCCTGGTCAGCTGATAGGAATAGGCTTCAAGAGAGTCCTTTAGTGCTAAGGTTTGAGTTGGTAAATCCAGGTCACAAAACCAAATGTTTAAGAACAGCACTGCTCTGCTGATGTTGTAACCTTAAGAAAAGTTCTTAAATGGGCAGGACTTTTGCTGGAATTAATTAAACTATTAATTATTTTTTCACCTTCCCTTCCTTTCAGAGAGATGGAAAATCTGATGAGTAGCTCAGCCCTCCCCCCACTGTTTGCAGATGATGACGGCTCTAAGGAGAGTAGTGATATGGCTGCGGCTGGGTAAGTAGCTGCTTCGGGCCCCCGGCCTCAGCTTCTGATAGAGCTTAGAGATGCCTGCCAAGCAGGCCAAACTCCATGGCACTGGGATGGATGTTTTGTGTGCTCTTGTTCTGTGATACTGTTGAGATCCATTATGAACTTCTCTTTAATCTGTGTCCTGCAGTAATTTGAAACAGGGCCTCACAGGAAGAGATATATAAAAGTTGGTATTCTGATTGCTGTTGTTTCCTTTTTTTTTTCCTTTTTGTTGTTGTTGTTTGTTTTGTTTTGGGGGGGGTTGGGTTTGGGTTTTTTTTTCCTTTTTGGTGAGGCAGTCAGGGTTAAGTGACTTGCCCAAGGTCACACAGCTAGTAAGTGTTAAGCCAGATTCAAACACAAGTCCTCCTGATTCCAAGACTGGAGCTCTATCCACTGTGCCACCTAGCTTCCCCTTCTTTTTGTTTTTATCATGTATGTGCAGTACCCACTTAAGAAGTCTCTCTCAAAGGAATTATGCCCATTAAAGAAATAACTACCTTAGGAATGGCCCTTAAAAAGAAATGAACCATAATGCCCATGTTCCCAGAGATTACAAAACAAACTTTGCCCCCCTAGATATGTAGTGACAAAAGACTATGTGCCCAAGTTACAAATTTGTATCTTTTTTGCAAAAAAAAAAACTCAGTAGCGTTAGCTGACTTCTGCATTCTCAATTTCTCCTCTTTGGAAATTTCTGACAAAATATGTATGATTTAGAGGAGTTTATATAGTGAAGAATTAACATTAGTTGGGCTATTGCTTTCATTAAAAATCTGTATTCTGCCTGTAGAGGGAATGTTACAGTAGTAGATAGTATATATGGCATATAGTATAGTGTAGTATAGTGTAGCGTAGCATAGCATAGTATAGTATAGTACAGTATATAGATATAGTGGATAGGTGGAGTTGGAGCCCAGAGAATTCAGGTCCTACCTCTGACATGTTCTGGGTATGAGACCCTGCACAAGTCAATTAAAACCTCTCTGGCCCTAGGGGACTTTCTTAAGACTCTAGATTGTATAAAAAGTGCCTACCTGCATTGGTAAAGGTAGGTTTCTCATGTGAGAGTTCTCTCTACCAGGCAGTTCACAGGTCTGACCCTTTTCTTAGGTAATTGCTGTCCCCCAGAACAATCTATTTGCCAAAGAATAAATATACTTATTAATAGATTTGAGATAGTCCATAATCCCCAAATAGAATTGTTGTGACTTCCTCAGAGTTGGGACAATGACTATATTCCAACTGCTATAGTAGAGTTGAAGCTTAGGAACCATTGTCTCGCTCTTCTCACCCCCCCTCCAGAACCATACAGCAGGACTCCCCTCCTTCGTCCTGGGCACTCGGCTTTTCTTAACGTTGCCTAAGATCACGTTAGCTTTTTGTCAGCTGTAGTGCACTTTAAACTCAAAGTGAGCCTTTGGTTTAGTTTTAAAACACCACCACTGCCACTACCACCACCAAAAAACAACAAACCTTTTCCCCAGGAACTTTGTAACCATCACCCTCCCTCCATCCCTCTTCTCCCTGCTGGTATTGGAAGTGTCAGAGGAAGGGGATGGTTGCCACCGGTAAAGGGGCATCAAAGACAAGAGAGGCACCCCCCCCCCACCTCCCCACTGCTTTGGCAGCAGAATAGAGTAGACAAATGAGGATACTTCTATTTATAAATGATTAAGGGCTCACCATTGAAATAAACTATAAATCAGGTTAGCTTAAGAAGTTCCTGAGAAAGGGTGTTTCCTGAATCTCCTTAGCCTTTTCCCTCCCTGTGCAGCTCCCACTTTCACTGTGTCTCCATTTTGGGACAGTATTTTTCCTATGAGTGATACCACATAAAGCTTGGGTTGCAAATTAAGCCGAGTAGTTTAGAGGCCTCTGTTACATGGGAAAAGCTACAGCATTAAGAGAAGAATTCACCCTGGGGACTCCTTTGAAGGCGAAGAGTTTTGGGATAAAGTCCCTTTTTCTCAGTTGACCGGCTTCCTGAAGATCTTTCTTCAAATTCTGACCCGTCTTCGGTGAGCATGGAAACAGCGTTTCATTTATTTATTTATTTATCTGTTTATTTATTTTGATTTATCAACAATCACTTCCATATGCTTTTGAGTTTAAAATTTTTCTCCCCCTTCTTTCCCATCACCCTCCCCAAGACAGCGCACAATCTGATACAGGCTATACATATACATTCCTGTTATGATGTTGTAAGGAAGAATTAGAACCAATAGGAGAAACCACCAGAAAGAGGAAACAAAACTCAACAGAAGAAAAAAAAAAGCAAATAGTATGCTTTGATCTGCATTCAAACTCCACGGTTCTTTCTTTGGATGTGGATAGCGTTTTCTATCACAAGGCCTTTGGAGAAGTCTTAGATCCTTGTATTGCTGGGAAGGGTTAAGTTTATCAATATCAGTCATCGCACAACGTGGCTGTTATTGTGTACAACGTTCTCTTGGTTCTGCTCACTTCACTCAGCATCAGACCATACGAGTCTTTCCAGGTTTTTCTGAAGTCAGCCTGTTCATCATTTCTTATAGCACAATAGTATTCCTTTACATTCGTATGCCACAACTTGTTCAGTCATTCCCCAATTGATGGGCATCCTCTCAATTTCCAATTCTTTGCCACTACAGAAAGAGGTGCTATGAATATTTTTGTACATGTGGGTCCTTTTCCCATTTGAATGATCACTTTGGGATGTAGCCCTAGAAGTGCTATTGCTGGGTCAAACAGTATGCACCTTTATATAGCCCTTTGGGCATAGGGAAACAGCATTTTTGACTCCCTTCCTCATCCTGTATTGAAAGGCATCAGTTGATTAAATTGTTTGACCAGTTCGTGATCAGATAAGCAGTAGAGGCCTGGCGATGTGTTTTGACTGGCAGCGTGTGATTTTATCATATGTACATGCCTCCGGGAAATAAGTCCTTGTTTCTTGTGAAGGCTAAAGTTTGGTGCCCTTTCCTCTCACCTTAGGTTAGCCCATCCAGAGGTGACGTACCCTGGCGGAGCCACACCATCCACAAACAACGCAGATTTTGTGGAAGATCTCTCCCAAGTCCAGCTGCTCCAGAACGAATCTTCAAATACAGTAGAAAATAGCGAGCAGCGGCATGAGGATGAGGTGAGCCAACGTAACAGAGCCATAGATTGCCCCCCTCGCTGCCCTCTCAAGACTTAATAAACAAGGAAATCCATATCAGGGCCATTGTACCTCTCTGGGCATATTTCTCCAGTTCAGTTCTAGTCCATCTTGAGGACCATCTTTCCTACCTAGCACTCCCTCTCTCTGTCCTACTGCTCTCGTATAGGCCTTCGTGTCCTCCTGCCTGGACTGTTACTTTGGTCTTCTTGCCATTCTCCTCTCCCTGGAATCCTTCATCACACTGCCAGAAGAGTCTTCTGCATCATTCTAGCATTCCTCAGCTCACAGCTCCGCACTGGCCCCCAGGCTAGCCTTTTGACTTCTCGGCCTCGAATTCAGAGCTTCTGCAGTTTTATCTCAGTTTTACTGTGGTGTATGTGCTCTGTATTCCAGCCAAACTTAAGTATTCGGCCCCCCCCCAGAATACCTGGCAGCTTCCACTCTGTGCCTTTGTTTGTTTATTCTGTTTCCCAGACTCGGAATGACCTGCTTCCGACAGACAAAGGTTGGTTGAATTTCTGCCTGTCCTTTTAAAGCCTGCCGTAAATCAGCACCTCCTCATGTGAAGCCTTCCTTGATGCATCTTGGTGCTAACGACTGTTTACTCAGGCCTTGTGTAACACTTTGTGTTAATCCCCTGCAGGCGTCACATGTTGTGATTATTTACATGTGTGTCTTGTCCCCTGCTATATGGTAAGGCCCATGAGGTTAGAATCAGTCCGAGTCTTCTGGTGTCTTCATTGGTGAATCAGTCAGCTTCTAATTATTGTCCATAGAGTCATTTACCCTCTAGAACACAAGTGGAGTGTGTGGGGTGTTCAGGAGGACTAGCACCTCTGGTGTTAGTCAGTTTGCTGAGCCCTTTTCAGGGCTGCTCTTCTACCTTTGGTATTTGCCTCTCACCCACCTCTCACCCGTGGCTCCAAGATGCTGTAGGACGTGTGGCTGCCACATCCACACAAAACCGCTTTGGCAGACGGCCTAAACCAGGTTGAAGGAAACTGACGGGCCTCAAACCTGTGATTGAGTTCGGGGAGATGTCTACCCCAAGCATGCGAAGCCTTCCTGGGATGGAATGGGTGGAGAAGAACAGGCTGTTCCAACGGCCATGAAGGTGGCTGACGCAGGTGCTGTGGGGCATGTAGGGCTGGGTCAGACATAAACGATGTCAGAGTCATCTGCTGCATCCCAGACCATCAGCAGTTGTCTTGACTTTTGTCCTGCCGCTTGGACTTCCGTGACTGGAAGAGAGAATAAGGCTGATGACTTTGTGCAGCTCTCACTGAAATCCAGTTCATGCACAAGTCAAGACATCACCCTGTGATGTCATTGGTCCTTTATGAAAATAAAGGACAAAATATATATGTTATATGATTGGCATGAAGCCAAGCAACTTATTCCCAAAGAAGTCTACGACACTATTGCCATTGTTTGGCCGCCATTTTCTGTATTTTCTTGTCAAGCTAATTGTATCAGCTCCATATTTTGGACCATTAAAAGCTTCAAAAGAATAACTTAACAATGTTGGCTTTTGCCCATCATCATCTTAGCACCTCTTGAGCTTATGGTGAATGTTCCTCCTTGTTCAACCAGGCCAGGGCAAGCCCTCACTGGCACTACAATAACACAGTTCTTTCTGCCCTCGGCTGTAGTAACCCACATCTGTGGTCTTTGCAGCTGTGCCTGTGATTAAGGATCTGTGGGTCTGTAGCATTTTGTTAACTCTAGAATCTTTTCCCTTACATGAGGAGCGTGTGAGATGGGCAGAATCATGATCACAGTCCTAGGGTGTGCCTTCTGTTCCATAGCAAAGGTGAGAAGGATGGACCAGGTGAGAGGCTGGGAGTCTCAGGGCCAGAGTCTGAACTCTGGCTTGTCACTTACTCACAGCTTGTTTGGCCTAGAGCACGATGTTACTTACCCTCTCTGGCCCCAGTTAACTCACCTTTAAGAGAAGCAGTTTCCAGTGGTCAGGGTCACCTCATCTGCTTCTGGATTCTGGGAATATTGCTGGGTTCTCTTTGTTTGTAAAACCTCTTAGGATGAATCAATAATCTTCTGAAATATATTTAATAACTCAACATAAGTATATTTAAGAAATATTAAAAGAACAAGCCATTAACCTTTGGAACTCATTGCTTTGGTTGTCCTTGCACTTACTGAAATTCAGCTAAAGATTAGATGTTCAGGTATATAATTAAAATCTGTGATACTAGGGGCCTAGAATAATGCTGCTGTTATGGCAAATTATATGGGAAGTAAACTTTTCTGTGAAGAGGTTTAGGAAAAAATCGCTTCTGTAGTTTAGATAGTTGCTATATCTGCCTACTTCTAATTTCCCTTCCTCTTCTGAATTCAATATCCTCTCCTACTTTGTGCATTTTAATGGCTCATGGGGCTATTCTGGGCAGCGGCTTGGGTTCCTGTGGCAAATTGCTCTATGTATATTCTGAATTACACATTTAAAGAGCCTTTGTGTTAGAGGCTTAAATTTGAAGGATCATGGCATCCACAATGCTGGTTTCAATGAGTAGGGATTAACCCTCAAGTCACCCTTGAAAGTGAGACTAGTTTGCAGGATGATACAAGGCCCTGTGATGGGAAAAGATCCTGAAAAGCCTGCATCCTCTATACCTGTGACAGATGTGGAGAGTTGAAAATATCTAGGGTTTTGTTTGACAGAAAAAATAGCCTGTGTTCTTTGAATCAAAGTTCTTATCCTCGCCCATTTTTTCTTTTTTTAGCAAAGAAATAAACGAGGAGGTTGGTCCAAAGGAAGAAAGAGGAAGAAGCCGCTTCGAGACAGCAATGCTCCCAAATCTCCCCTCACAGGGTACGTGCGGTTCATGAATGAACGTCGAGAACAACTCCGAGCAAAACGGCCCGAGGTCCCCTTTCCAGAAATCACGAGGATGCTGGGCAATGAATGGAGTAAACTGCCTCCTGAGGAGAAACAGGTTATCAATTCAGATTCCTGATGCTTGCCTTGGCTTTGATTGTTACTTAAGAGGGAGGCTAGTGGCTGGTCTCTGCTGCTGTGGCAGGTGGGAGAATTGCCAGCCACTCCAAAGCTCTGGGCCATCTTGGGGGCACATCCGATCCCTGCTGTGCAAATTGAAACAGAGGCACCTCCGGAGCGCTCTTGTGAGGGGCAGGCACTAACACTGCTCCCTAACGCTGATGTCTCTGGCCTTGCCAGGCCAGCCCGAGTCAGGCGTCTGTCTGGAGTGAGGTTTACGGAGGATTAAAAAAATGTAGCAGCGGCGCGGGATTGGAAGGCTGCTTTTGAGCAGACAAGATTATTTGGAGGAATCTTCGCTTAGACTTTTTAAAGTTCCCTGAAATAGGTCTGTAAGGCCTTTTCTTTAAACCAGCTTGAGAAAATGTTGTGAAGCTGAAAACACACTTTCAGTTTTTCCAAGTTGCATTACTGAGTTCAAATGGAAGGCTAAAATGCCATTTTTCACCAATAGCAATTTTTTTTTAAATTGTGAACTGGATTAAAAGTTGTTACATGTTACCTGCTTTGTTTGCTGCAGCGGATAGAAGTGAGGATTGTAAGGAACAGGTATCTAATAACTGGTCTTTCAGGTTTATATTGGATTAATCCAGAATGGCTGTTATTTCATAGGATTTTAGACATGGAAGGGATCTTAGTGAAGCTGGCCCTCTCATTTTACAGATGAGGAAACTGAGGCCTAGGGAAATGAAGATGACTTTCCTAAGGTTACAGGTGGAAGGCAGAGCTGAGATGGGTACCCAGGGCCCCCAACTCAAGATCGGCATTCTTTCCACAGTACTACATTGCCTCAGAAATAACTTCAGTTAGTTGAATTAAAAGGAAAAAAGTAGTTGACCCAAATGATGCCGTAAATCAATAGCCTTTGTGTAAATAATTAATGGGACAAAGGCAAAAAATGTGTAAATGGAGACAGAATCAAAGTGGCTTATGTAGCGGTCCTCAGAGTGAGATCATCTTTTTTTTTCCCCCACTTCTGTCTTCACTACTCCACGTCCATGGTCCTTAGAAAGCCAAATGGCATGAGGTCATCCTCTCAGAATGAATTGATGGGACACGAACAAAACGATATTCTATTTGTCCCCCAGTGACCAGCTAAGTGTCACCTTTGCATCATTCATACCCCCTGAGGCTTTGGGTAGCCATGTGGACCTCAGCCTGCCCGACCTAAAGAAACGATATATGCATTTGGTTCTTGAGTTTTGTATGAAACTTTACCTGAATCCATGCGGATAAGACAGTCAGTTGGGAGCCTGAAAGCTAGTGCTCTGTCTCTGTAAAAACATCCAGAAGTCAGCTTGCTGCAGCTCTGCTCTCAATATTCCAAGTTCCCTCTTTTTCTTTTACTGCCTGTGCATGCCTCTTGTGGCATGGGTGTTTTGCATGACCAAACCTTCTCAGAAATCATTGAATTTTCCCTTTGTAGCGTTACCTGGACGAAGCAGACCGAGATAAGGAGCGTTACATGAAGGAGCTGGAGCAGTATCAGAAGACGGAGGCCTACAAAGTCTTTAGCAGGAAAGCTCAGGATCGGCAGAAAGGCAAATCTCACAGGCAGGGTGCGGAGGCCACGTCCATTCTTGTCGTTTGTGTGTGTCCTGGCCGGGTCCAGAGACTGCCCTCCCCCCCTTAAAGTGACAGTTTAACTGTGATGGAAGGAAGCTGTTTTAAGTTTCACTTGTCACGGTGCTTCTGACTGCAGAAGCTTCAGGAGTCCGTTTGCCTCCCACATCAGGTCAGGCTTTAACTGTTGGGCTTGTGCTTTAAGGTCCTGCATCAGACACACAGTCCTACGTTGTCCTCTTTTCCTCTCACCAGTTCGGGCTGTTTGTTCATTCCCAGAGAGCCCTTTGTCCTACCTCCATCCTCCCCAGTTCTCAAATATTCAGGCCCCTCTAACCCCCACTGCCAGGCCAGCCCCAGACCAGCAGACCTGGCAAGACCAGGGGAGAGTGTGCAGGCATGCAGCCCCAACCCCTAAGTCCAAGGATTTTGTCACTAGCTCTTAACATCACAGAGACCCAGCCTCCTCACCTGTAAGTCAGAGTCACCTGTCGGCAGGGTTGTCTGTGAGGGGTGATGACTACATAGGTATCACTTATTGTCATACAGCAGCAAAGTAAGGCTGTAATTGATGTGATGCTTATCTCCATTATCTTTCATTCCCTTCCCCTTGGAAACCCCCTCTGGGGGTGTTTGCCCTTCCTCTTGTATCTCCCTGCCATGCCTAATCACTGCCTGACCTGCGGGCCATGCTCCCCAAATGGTGGTGGTGGGCTGACTAATCCAGACATGAGGAGTGACCTCGTGGGATTTGTAGGGACAGACGTGGGACTTATTTGTCCTCTGGCACAGTTTTGCATTTTGGTTTTTTACTTCAAGTGAATGTTCTCTTGTTTTCAGAAGGAGCTCGGCAGGCTGCTCATGATCATGAGGTAAATATGTCTCTGTCTGTCAAACATTTTATCATAATTCTGTCTTTGGAGCATTTTAAGGGTTTTTCCCCTAAGATAAATTCATTTAAAAAACATGCATGGCCTGGAGTGTCCAGAGTACTGTGCAGATGTGGTGGGGCGGGGCTTGTAGGGAAGTAAGATGCAAACACAAATGACTCCAGGACACAGCATTTTGTGGGGCACAGCAGAGACTTGTGAAGACAAGTGCTCCAGGGGCCCAGGGCCCCATTCATTCCTGGTGGTGGGATCAGAGAAGGCTTTGTGTGTGGAGAAACTAGTGATTTGGGCTTTAAAGGGTGGGTAAAAATTGAGTAGATGAGAGGGGGAGGAAACAACATAAAGATGTACAAGGAGAGGGAGACAAGTTAAAGTCTCATTCGTATCCTCCATCTTGACTTGGATGGGTTGAGCTAATTACAGCTTCTGTCTGGCCCTTCACAAGACTGAGCCACATTCTTTTACCTGCCTAAAAGGAGATCAGGCGCTCATTCAGAGACAGTAGAGGGAGTGGGACACGTTTGGAAGCTGCTGGCTTGCCCTATCCCTGCTAAAAGCTCCTTACCTTTATTTTTCCATCATTTGCACCCTGAATCTAATGCTTATAAAATCTAATGCTTTTAAATGGTAAGGCAGAAGAAAATACCTGGTCTCTAGAAAAAAAAAAAGTTAGAGTGTATGAGTAAGAAACATAAAAGATTGAATGGGGGGGGGGGAAATCCATGATACTGAAAGGAATTAGCCTTGAAAGGAATTAGAGGAAATCCTGAGAAATCACAGAACAATGGGTAGGAACAGCTGGAAGGAACTTAGAACTCCTCTATGCTGATGGTTCCCAACATTCTTGAGTCTGAGGATCCATTTTTAAAGTAACAACATTGGGGGATCCCTGGCAGTCATGTTGTGGCCCTCGTTCACGGCTTTATTGGAGACATGGGGAACCTGTGATAGAGTCTGAGGCCCCCGAGAGGGGGAAACAACTCTGGCCTGTGTGCATCAGCACCCTCTTTTTGTCTGCCATCCTACATCCTGCAGTCAGCATGTCGCTCTCTTTGCCCCCCTTCTGAGATCGGGTTCTAGAGCTTCTGAAATGAGTAATTACTGTGCTGAGCCATTATATTGGCACACCATTTGCATACGTGCTGGCATCTGCAAACATTTCACCATGTCAGTAAGCCTTTCTGGGACAGACAACCCAAGAGAAATTCATCTTCTCAGTTGAATTTGTAATAGCTGACTACTTAATTCCATTCAGTAAACATTTATTAAATGTCTCCTTTGTGCAAGATGTGGTATCAGCATGGTAATAATTGATAGAGTGAGAAGGACCTGAGTTCAAATCTTGCCTCTGACCCTTAGTAGCTGTGTGACCCCAGGCACCTTACTTAAACCTCTCTATTCAGCTCAGTCAGCTTCCCAGGATTTATCTACCAAATTGCTGCTAAACTTTGATCTGCATTAGTGATGGAGATTTCCTCATATTGGTGAACTCACAGGTCCTTAAGCTTTCACACGTGGAAGGCACTGTGCTAAGTAAGCCTGTGGGATGGTGCAAACAAATGAGACAATACTATTCCTACCCCAAAGGAATTTATTATCTACTAGAGAAGAGGCAGCACCTCAGATGATTCTAACGTAAGTTAAATTGCAGGTGGACAGGAGTAGCACAAAGCCCTAAGAGCTATTTCCTTCCTTCCTGTAAGAGGTGTGAGTAGGGATACATTATCTCATGTAACGTGCAGAGGGGAAAGCTTTTTGAGAGTAGGGCCTGAGGCTGGGAAGGATTTAACAGGTACAGTAAAGAGAGAGTGTGGGGGCCAGCAGGAACAAAGATGAGGACAAGTAATAGGATTAAAGGCTGGCCACAGGCCAGCAAGTAAGGGATGGCCAGTGAGGGACACCATTTTTAAGGTGGAAAAATTGGGGCAAAAAGTTAAATAAACATTGTGCTTTTTTAACCCCACCAGGACAGTATGGCTTAGAGGATAAAGAGCTGGCCAGACAAGTCTGCCTCTCTCCCATCTGTCCTCTGTGCCCCCTCTTCTCCAACCCTGCCTTCATCACTCACACCTGTGTGGCTTCCTTGCCCTCATCTCTGTCCACTGCACTCAGCTGTCAGAGTCCTCTTCCTAAAGCATAGGTCTGTTCAGGATGCTCCTGTGGCTCCCTGTCCCCTCCAGAATCAAGATGAAAAATCCTCTCTGCCCTTAAGAAAGCCTTTTGTTTCCTGGCCTCTTCCTAACTTCCTGGCCTTCTTATGGTTTGTGGCCTCCATGTACTCTACAGTCCAGTGACACTGACCTCCTGGCTGGTCCTTGCATGAAAAGCTCTCTCTCAATTCGATGCCTTTTCATAGGCCATCACCCATACCTGCAGTGCCCTCCCTCCTCATCACTGCCTCCTGGGAGGTCCCCACTTGCTTTCTGAAAGAAGCCTTCCCCTATCTTTCTTCATGTTAGTGCCTCTCCTCTGAGCCTGCCTCTGGTTTAGCTTGTTTGCTGTTTGTGCATATTTGTATGCTGTCTTCCCCGTTAGACGAGGTACTTGAGAGCAGGGACTGTCTTTTGCCTTTCTTCATGTGCCTGGTGCTTAGCACAGGGCCTGCCACGTAGTACATACTTAATAAATATTATTGATGTGACTCGAAATCAAGAAGACCTGAGCAAGTCTCTTCATCTCTCAATGTTCTGGACAACTCACTGAGACATCTCAAGTTTTAGAGAAGGTGCCACCTGCGTCGGTAGAGGGACTTTGTCCACCAGTGAGTTCCCTATACCAAAAAAATCGTAGGTTCCATCTCTGTCCTTTCTACTTGAATCTGGAGACAGTCCTGAGTCTTTTGCACATTTGCATCTAGTCCTTTGGAATATGGGCACGTGGGCCTGCATGACTTGTGAGGTCCCTTCCAACTCTGACATTCTCTGACTCCCAATCTCGTACTTTTTTCAGCTATTCAGAATCTCTGCAGAAGCAGAGCACAGGTTTTTAATATGATAAAAAGTGTTTGTGTACAAGTTTGACTTGAAATAATAGCGTGTGTATGAATTTGCTGATGTAATTACTGTTTCAGGTATTTCTTTTTTCTTAAGTCAAGGAAACTATTCCTTAAGAACAGTGGCTTGCTTATCATGAAGTTGTATTTCTCAAACCCAGTTCTGTATCATTGACCTTTAAAAGATAATGGAAAAATTATTCAAATTCACATGTCTGTTCTTTAAAAAAAATCCCCTATATGTATTATGAGGATTTTAAAGTCTGTAGCTATTACTACTTTATTCATTCTATGAATTCCACATAAATACAATTATATATGGCACTCTGACACTCTTAATTTGTACATGATAAACTGCTATGAATTTTATTTTTACTTGGAGACTTTTTGTGTCCTCCATGTTTTAAACCTAAATTTAATAATGTTGGCAACCTTTAGTGTTAACAGAGAATAAGTTTGTGATTGCTCATTCCTCTCTCCCTTTTTGGTGTTTTCATGTATTTAACCACCAGTTTTTTTCCTCTATTAAACTTCCCTACTTGTTCTTTGCTTTTCTGGGAATTTCAGTATAAGAATACTTAACTCGGTATAGGTTTCCTACTAATCACAGCCTCACCAGAGAGGCTGAGCAGGAACGAGCAATAGTGATTCTTGGTGAGCCTCCATCACCATACGGTCTGTTTTAATGGTCACTCCTAGCACCAGGCCGTGTTTGGAGCTCTGGGTTTCAACAAAGCTAAGACAGTTGGAATGATGAGAGTTTGATTGAGTCATGGACACTCTTGGAGTGATTAGCCTAGAGACCGGAAGTGACTTCCCCGAGTCTCACAACTATTAACAGCAGAGCTGGGAGGAGAAACCTGGTCTCTTTATGATCCTGTTGCACTGTTTAGTCTTAGAGTTGGAAGGATAGAGATATGGTCTGACATGAACAGGAATCCCCTCCATCAAATTTCCAATAAATAATCATCCAGCCTTCTCTTGAAGTCTGTTTGTGACCTTCCAAGACAGCCCATTTAATTCTTAGGAAGTTTTTTCTTACATTGAGCCAGTATCTTACCCTTCTGTGTGACTTATGGTTGCTGCTAGTTATGCCCCCCTGAGCCAAGCAGAAGTCTGATCTTCTTTCTGTCTGATAATCCTTCAAATTCTGGAAGGCAGCTATCATATCTCCCAACATCCCCCCTCCTCTTAATGAATCTCCATATGGCAAGTTTTTCAATCCCTGTACCATTCTGGTATTCTTCTGCATACTTGTCAGCTTGTCATTGGCCTTCCTAAAATGGAGCTCCTCAGACTGAATCCATAACCACCACGGCAGAGTGCAGCAGGACTAGCACTTCTCTCATTTGGGCACGATGCCTCTCTTTAATAGTTGATATGATTCAAACAGTCTGGTGAGCTAAAGTGTATCTAGATCCCTGAGAGGGACTCTAGTGCGTTTACCCAATCACAAGTCCATTGGGGGGGGGGGGCAGGGCAGTTCAGAAGAGGAAGCTAGACCAGCAAGCTTGGGTTCTTGAAGAGCCATGTAGCAGAGCCAAAGAAACCCTTACCCCAGGGTCATGCTGCCAGTGGTGGGCTACATCTCCGGCCTGTGTGCCATGCTCAAAGCTGTCTTTAAAGCTTGCCTCGTGGAAGTCTGTCCCTGAGCCTCAGGCACAGCAAGCCATGCAGCTCCCAAAGACCTTTGTTCTGCCCTCCTCCCATGTGATCCAGGGTGAAAGCTGAAAGCCAGGGATGTTCTGGCTGTTCTCAGATTAAATGCCAGCCTAGAAGACCCTGGAGTGCTATAGGGTTACTCCCTGAAAGTGTCATCTCATGTGAAGACCAAGATAGAAACAATAATTTTGTTTCTCCTTTAATTTATGAGAAATGACAAAATGACACTCAGCCTGAACAGATTAGGCCTTTTCAATGAAGAGGTAATCAGATCCGTATGATTTTAATCCCTGGAGCAATCCTTGGAGCAGCTTAAGTACATCCGAGCCCCCAAGAGGATCCTCTCCATGCCGGGTAATGTACTCAGTAATGGAAGAGTGCTGATGGCTTTCATTACCGCTCTTCCGTTAAGTAGAATTTCTCTGTTGCCTTTTAGAGACTGAACAGTTTCATTTAATTGCTTTAATGTTTCTTATTTTGTACTTCAAGAATCTGGACCAAGGGACAGTGTGAATTGTATCTGCATCATACTGTCCCTGCCCTTGAATAGTTGTCAGCCCAAACCAGGCTCTGTCCGTCAGGAGAGCCAAGTACCTCGCTACCTTAAAGGGAAGCAGGCCTACCTTCCCTCTAAGAATTGGATAGTTGCCACTGAGGCTCCTTGGTGCCTTCACAAAAGACTTACCTAAAGCTATTTAAAGGAATAAAGAGAGGTCCTGACTAAAGCCTAAGTCTCTGAGGATTGAGGTGGGACATTAATGTAGGAGGTGCATTCATAAAACTGGGAGAAATGGATATGACTGAGACGAAACTACAGTGATGAAGTTCTTTTTCTTGTCTGACATGTGGCCTCCTTTATAGACCCCTCTGATTCATGTTTTAAGAGCTGTGTAGTTTGAGAGTTTTTCTGCAGTGACTCACAGAGTTTGGGCAGCAAAGGAAGGTGAGGGGGGGGAAGCCACTGGCACGTGACCTCAGGGCACCTCAGGATCACTCCCTCCACCTTCACTAAAGCTTCAGTTGAAGGTTTTTAGGTAACTCGCTTGAGTTTCAGCATGCTTTGTGTGTTAAGATGGCCTCTTAGTGGTAAGACTTTGCTTTATTTTTAGCCGATTTTAAGAACAGTGGCTTTCTCTTCCCACCCCCATCCCGCCAAAAAAAGGGGGTTTGGTCTCAGGATCAGAGTTAAATAAATAAATGCTCATTGACAGTTGGCCTAGGGAAACAGGATGGATTATTCCATCTCGTGCGGCTAGTTGTGTCAGTTGGCACCCTGATCAGCCTCTGAGAAGCAGGCCCGGCCTGCCTAACGGTGGGGGGGGGCCCTCAAGCTATGATGCCCTCCCTCGAGGCATCAGATCACACGTGGTGCTCCACGGAAAGTGGAGGTGCTCAAGTACACAATCCTGTAGAGGTAGCAAGAGCGCTTTAAACGTTTTTACAGGGGTGACCACGTGGTCCTGGCTGCTTGGCTGATGCTAAGGAGGCTTCAGTCAGGCTCTTTCAGCACCAGTCTCTTCTCTGAGCAGCCTGCTGACTGTTCTTGGGAGTAGGCCTCAAAAAACAAGGTTTCCAAAGGAGATCGTTTTTTCCATGGTTTTCCTTTCATGAACGCATATTCTTAATGATTCCCACTTAAAATCCGTTTCCTAAATCTCCATTGGGAGCCACCCTAAACTATTTACTTTCAACTTGCTCTGTAAGAAGTGCTGTAAAAACGTTGCAGGAGCCCTTGATGAATCCAGTGTTGTCTTCAATGTTATTTCCTCATCCTTGGCTTTCTTGCTTTCAAGACTGTTTTAAAATGTCTCTTTACTCTTCACCTCTTCAGGTTCTCAGCAGTCTCAGTCGGTCCCCCAGCTTTAACCTCTTCTGCTTTACACATGGCTCCCAAACCTCCCTTTCAAGCTGCAGCCCCCCACACTATCCTTGCATCGAGCCTAGCTTATACTTTTTCTCCTGATCCTTCTCTTCTGACTTACCTATTTCTGTCCATTCATTCTGTTCTCCACATACTCAGCAGTCAGCCCAAACTGGCTCACCGTCTGCTTCTTGACTGTGGCCTGTGCTTTCTTACCTTCAGGCCTTTCTTTAATCCAGCCATTCTTGTTGCCTGTAATGTTCTCCCCTGCTCTCCCCCCCTCCTGATAAATTTGTGCCCATTCTCTGAAGTCTGACTTAGAATGCCTCATCCATGAAGCCTCTTCCTGATCCTCACATCTCCCCTCACTAACTGCCCTCTTGGGAGGAACCTCTCTAATGTCCACCATCAGGAAACATCTTAAATTATGGCTCTCTGTGTTGGGGTTTTAATTCCCCTACTGGATTTCAAGCTCCTTGAAAACATCGACTATGTGTCTTCTCTCCCATCTCTACCCTCTTATGAGTGCAGTGCCCTGCACACAGTAGGCCCATAAAGAATTGAATTAAATAAAATGAAATGTATTTATTTTTTCCAAGGAGGTTGGAAGGAAAGCTAGAAGTGCTTAAAGTGGGGGGGGACGACACGATTAGGAGGTGGCATCCTTAGAAATCACTGGTTCTCTATGAAGTGCCACAGTTTGTTAGCACAATAGATGGATCCTACTTAATGTGCCTTTCTACTTTGTAGAATTCAAGTAGACATTCACTGAGAGAATGTTTTTACACGACCATCAGAAACAACTGGAAAGTCATGTTATTAGATTCCCTTCTTCTCTATCCCTTCCCAGTTTCACCTCTTTCAGAACTATTTCATTATTGATGTTGCAGAGCAAAAAGCTTAGAAGGGCTTCTAAATTCTCACCTCTTTTCTTTATTAGGGAAAACATATTCAGATTTGTTTTAATTTAAGGCTTATAATGTTATGGTTGAGCACCTGAGAGGACTGAATACTTAAACTATCCCCGCCATCATGTAAGTCCAGTTGAGGTATAAAAAAATCTTAATACCCTTTTGTTGTTGAGATCAAAATTTGATAGACTCAGAGATGATCCCCGTTCCTGCCCTGGTTTCATTAGGGAAGAGGTTGTGTACCTAAGACCATTTTATTGGCATGCCTTTTTATTTTACTTAGCTATTGCTAAGAATTAACTTGAATTGAATTCTTGCTCCATCTCTGATCCACAGAAAGAAGTAGATGTGAAAGAAAGGTCTGTCTTTGACATACCTATATTCACAGAAGAATTCCTCAACCACAGTAAAGGTAATTGCTTCAGCTTCCCGGTGTTTGATTCCTCAGTCTGTGACTGGACAGCTGGCCTGAGTAAAGCAAGGGACTTCATATGCCCCAATGGGGGCCTAGAAAGCAGGGCTAGGTCTCATTCCTCACCCTAGGAAACCACGTGGCTTCTTCTCTGTCCCCCAACCTTTGCCATTCAGGGTGGCACAGGAAAGCAGGGATTGAGTCTGAGTCAAAGGCAATAAGAAAATAAGCACCATAAGTTTTTGAGGGGAAATGTGGCAGTAATTTTGCACTCCTGCACACTGATTCCATTTTTCAGGAATTCAGATAACTAGGATGGCGCAGACTTTTATTTTGTGGCCGGAGTCATTATTTAGACTTGAACTTAAAAACCATCAGGGTAGTTTTATTCCAGGCCTCGTGACTTGGGAGGCCTCTCAAAAGTTACTCCTGGTAGTGGAGCAGTGGGGCTTGGTTGGCAGAGGAGGAAACTTTCTATAATATAAGGTTGGGGGGGTAGGGTCACATCACAATAAGAAGACACTCCAGTTCCTGAAATGAATGGCTGTTGTCATTCCCTCCTGCCCAAACACCTGCTTCGTTGTGTTCAGTGGCCCTGGAAAGTATTAGTAGAGGGTGAAAGCATTGAACCCTGGCGGTTGCCATATTGAGAGTACTGCTAAGTTAAATTTTTTTTATGTATTCATTTCTTTAGTTGGAATCAAGTTATTTCTTCCAATTTTGTTTTATTATTGTAGTTTTTTTACCTTTCAAGTATAAGCTTGCATATAAAAATGTAAATGTAAGGAATACATTAAAGACCGCTAATAACAATTCCTATGTAAATAAAATTGTAAGCAGAGTAAAAAAAAAACTAAAAGGGATAATGAAATGGAGTCAAGTTAAACACATCTTAACTCAGATCGGTTTTGCAAAAGCTTATGAAAGTCCTACCCGATTTCTCAAAGATAACACATCCTGTCCTCCTCTTCTCCCGGCATTGTGCACTGGGTGTCTTCAGCCCGAGAAGCGGAGCTGCGACAGCTGCGTAAATCCAACATGGAGTTTGAAGAGAGGAACGCAGCCCTCCAGAAGCACGTAGAGAGCATGCGCACGGCTGTGGAGAAGCTGGAGGTGGACGTGCTTCAGGAGCGGAGCCGAAACACCGTCCTGCAGCAGCACCTGGAGACCCTGCGGCAGGCCCTGACCAGCAGCTTCGCGGGGGTGCCGCTACCTGGTGAGAACTCCTTGCCAACTTGGCTGCTTCTGGGACACTGGGAGTCACGGTGGTGTCGTGGGGTTCTTTGTAGAGGTGTGCCAAGAAGTAAGTAAGCAAATGAAAGAAGGGAGGATTGGAAAAAATTACCAAAAAAGGAATCTGAAACTCAGGCCTCATTGTAATTTTGGCTGTTGTGCATCCATTATGACTTCGGTAATTCTGCCCCACTTCTGAACCTTGGGACCCACAAAGCATTCCAGATTGGAGTATGTAAATCTCCGTGGGTCATTTCTCTACATTATTTTGGTTGAGGGATGGTTGTTTGTTTGTTCCTCAAACAATTGGTGTTTCCTGTTTTCTTCCCTGTGGAAGCGAGCACAGTGAAAGGCTGGTGGTGCTGCTGACTGGGTCCAAGGGCTGGTTGTCTCTGTTTGATGCAGGCCATGCCAGGGATCCTTACTGTTGTTGTCTTTACCTGAAACTTATGGTTGATTTGTGAGTCACATTTTCCCCATCATTTTCTTGTCTTCTCCCAACTTCAGGAAGTGGAGAGACCCCCACAGTGGATACAATTGACTCCTACATGAACAGGCTTCACAGTATTATTCTAGCTAATCCCCAGGACAATGAAAACTTCATAGCCACAGTTCGAGAGGTTGTGAACAGGCTTGATCGCTAGTGACTGGTAAGTGTTCTTCTGCAGTGTCAGCCTCACATTCCCCAATGGAAACATATTTGTAAGATAAGTTGAAGACCCCTAAGCAGTTATCTCCAAACAGAGGAAGCAGCTGATTAGAGGAAGGGGGGGGGGGAGCTTGTTTGCCTTTTTTCATCAGTCTGTAGTAACCAGTGTTGGGGGAAAGGTTTGTTACGAGAAGAAGGCCTCCATCCATCTGAACCTTTTTTGTGTTGTTGGTATGTGAGCCTTGTTCTTAGAATGGAGCCTCGGCTCTGCTTAGGAGATAGAGCTCTGGCCTTGGGGTCAGGAAGGCAAGTCTGAAGCCTGCTTCAGACATTTGGTATCTGTGTGACCCTGGGCAAGTCACTGAACCTTCTTTGTAAAATAGGGATAGCTCTTGGAGGGCTTTCCTCACAGGCCTGTTCCGAGGACCAAGTGTGATTGTATTTGAAAGTACTTGGCAAAGTCTAGAAAATGTTAGTTATTATTAAAGTAGGGCAGTGGATAGAGAGCTGAGCCTAGAGTCAGGAAGACCTGAGTTCAAATCCAGCCTCAAACATTTACTGGCTGTGTGACCCTGGACAAATCACGTCACCCTGTTTGCCTTAGTTTCCTCATCTGTAAAATGAGGTGGAGAAGGAAATGGCAAACCACTCCAGTATCTCTGCCAAGAAAACCCCCAATGGCGTCATGGAGAGTCAGTCAGGACTGAAAAGACTGAACAGCAACAGCATTGATTATGGCAAGGCTGGTAAGGTCTTAACTTACTGACTCATAAGAGCAGGATGACAGCTTGTGGGGCGCAGTGACCCCCAGGTACCCATGGCCCCGGGTTTGGATCCCGCCCCTCCACCCCCTCCTCCTGTCACCTTTGGTAGGTCAGCCTCTGAACTGTTCTTCATTCATCCATCACAGCACAGGGTCATAGAGTAGCAGGAAGTCTGCGAATCACCTGGGGTCAGATCCCAGCGTGCCCCCCTCCAACCAGACACAGGTGTTCTTCCTGCTCTGTAAAATGAAATGGCCTCTGTGACTTGTAAGAGATTCTTTGAATCCCCACATTTTACAAGCAGTCCCAGAAAAGGGAAGTCCTTGGCCCCCGGTCACACAGTTTCGGACCTAGGGCTTCTGCTTCCCTGTGTAGCACGTGTGGAAGCCCTGGAGTCGCGAGGCCCTTTCAGCAGCCTCCCAGCACCCCAGCCAAGCTTTTGGCTTACTCCCATAGTAGTAGATTCCAGATACCCCCACGCACAAACAATGGGAGAATTTCAGGTCCAGCCACACACTGACTGGGCTTTGGGGCACATTGATGGCCACGTACCGTACACATCCACGCTGTGTAGACCAGATCAGGAGTTAAACTGAGGCTTCCAGTTCGCTGCTTTGAAATTGAGGTTTGAGCCTTTATTACCAGTTTGCCAGCCATGTGGGTACACTCCATTCTCATGTCTGTGCAGCCCAGCAGGGTTGGGCCCTGAGTGGCATGTACTCAAGAAAATAAGAAGCCCTGGTCATGTGTCTGACAGAACAGTGACTGTTGGCAAAGACAAAAGCAGGCATGTCCATCCTTTCTGGCCGTGCCCTGTATTGGTAACCACACAGGGCAATTCGTTATACTTTATCCTCAGCTGGGCTTTGATGGGGAAAAGGGTTATTGTCCTTCCACTGAGTAGCCAGATGGAACGGCCTGTACTTCAAAGAGATGGCCTGGGCTCCCTGTAGAATCAAGAAGTGGCATTATCGCCACTGCTGATGAAGGGAACAGCTTGTAAATCCAACCCTGGGATTTTCAGGAACTCATCATCCTTCTCATTTTCACACAGTGTTTTCAATTAGCATACTTGTAAGCTTAAAAAGAGAGAGGTGGGAGATTCTGAAAAAAGACAATAATTGATAACACCGACTCTCCTCAAGTCCTTGTAGGCCAGTTACTGTGGGGCAGAGGAGGGGGGCAGGGACTAACGACTTTTTGTCTGGATGGTGTTGCCAGCATGGCAGCTACCCTAGAGTATGCCATAGGAAACCCAGAGAAGCTTAATTTTGCAAGGTTTTACCCACAGCTCCAGCCTACAAATATGTTGAGATGAAAAATGAGATGAAAATATGAACTGTTAGACCACTACAGATTCTTAGCCTCTGGCCACCCAAATGTGACTAAGAATAGCTATCTCTCTGCCCTCCCCCATGCCCCACCCCCAGATCTGTCAGATGAGACAATTACAAAGACTGTGATTAATTCTAGCTTGGCCTCATTATACAAATATGTACAGACAGCTAGGCCTGATGTCCCCAGCATTCATGGTGCAATTAATTACTCTGACACTAGCTTGGCAGAGGTTTCATCCACTGTTAGGAGCTTTGTGAGTGAAGGGAAGTTAATGGTGTGTAAGACCAGGCAAATCATAGAATCAGAACACCAGAGCTGCAAAGATGCCTTAGACCCTGTGTAGTTCCACCCCCTTGTTTTACAAAGGTGGAAACCAAGGCCCAGAGAGGAAAAATAGCATGCACATAATAAAGTCACAGTCTTTGGCAGAGGCAGGAGATGAACCCCAGTCCCCCTGAGATTTAAACCTGTACCTTTTTACCACACAAATTGGGAGGAGAGTCCAGATCCCCAGCAGAGTAGGAGGTCTGGAGAGGAGAAGTCATATGGGGATTTATGTGGACAGTTGTTGGGGGGAGTTTCTTTTCATTTTTACATAGTACTAGGACAGCACTAGAGACAGTGGGCCCCAGGAGAGGTGGAAGATTACTATAGGACAGGGCCTAGCCCACAGGAAGCACACAGATGACTGCATGGGGCAGTCTCTATGGACATTGAACAACCAAGTGGCCTCGAGGGCCTTAGGGAAAAGGTTGTTAACAACAGGACCTTCTGGGAGAGCCCACCATTCCTGATGGCAGCTCCCTTTGGTGTGTTTTCATAAACGCACAGTGCAGACATTATCCTGGCTATCATCAGAGCAGCTCACATTTCTCTAACTGTTGGAGGTGATAGAACAGCATGGGAGAAAGAGCACGGACCGGGGGATCAGGAAGACCTGAGTTGGAATTCTTCTTCAGACATTGACTGCCTGTGTGACGAGCAAGTCCCTTCCCCTCTCTGTACCTTAGTCTTCTTGTCTGTAAAACAGAGATGGTGATGATAATAGTGCCTACCTCACTGTGTGGTAGTCAGACTCAAAATGAGATGTAAAGCACTTTGAAAACCTTAAAACATTGTAGAAATGTCAGCTGTAATGCACAAACCATTTTCTGTATCTTAGCCTTGTGAGGTTAGGAAATACAAGTAGTGTGCGGGTAGAAGCTGAATCACTTTGCCCGGGGCTGGACCAGCATCAAACCCGGGTCTTCCTTCCTCCCTAGGACCCAGGGGGAAGCGGGCTTAGAATGGCAGCACTCAGAGGCTGACCCTAGCAATCAATGCATGGTTTTAGGAACTTGGCCAGAATGGATCAATGGCCTTCCTGATTTCAGATGATTGGAATGGGTAATATTTGTTGCCCATTCTGCACAGATTGTCAGCATTATCTGTGATTTTATTTTGTTGTAGTGCATGTTCATATGAAGTTTTACACAGTACTTATTTTAGATCATGTGCACCCAAGAAATGTCTCTGTATTCAGACATAAGGTCCATTTATAGCTAGAGGAAACTGGAGTTGGTGTAGACCACACATTCCTTGGACTGAGACGCCATCCTAATTTTAGAACCCTGGACCCAGTCCCTGTGGGCAGCTTTTCTCTCATCGTAGGTGACCTCAGGCTGCCCTATTCAGTATCCCCACTGCCCTCGTGCAAAGGCAAGGTCACACCACACATAGAAATACCGCCACAAACACCTTGACACAAGTTACCTCTGGCTTAGCCAAGCCCTGGAGTCTTGTTCAGCCTTGCCCTTTCCTATTTACTTTCCCAGAAAAACAAGAAACCAGCATTTTAGGCATAAAGCCCTGCTTCCCAAGAGACGCTCACCCTTTTCTGTGTTTTCCTTGGCCTTGTCCACAGGTGCTGTGGCTCCATGATGTTCTGCAAGTGATTCTGCTTGTGAGGAATGAGAAGCCATGAGGGAAACAGACTGCCAGGGGCGGAAGGGACCCATGCATGCATTCCAGCCTCCCCCACCCCTGGAAAGCCATCAGAGCACCCCAAGGCACGTTTGGACGCCCCTTCCACTGCTTGTCCTTGCTGGCTCTCAGGGCCTCAGCTTCCTCTCATTTCAGTTTCTATTGCAGAGAAAAGGCAAGATTTCCTCCTGGAGCCACACAGAATGGGTGTCCATGCCCCCGTCCCCAGGGCTATTCCAGTCACTTTCTGTTTTTAAGTTCCATCGCTGACACCTCCACCCTCTGCCAGCCAGCCAGGCCCCATGGGAGAGCTCCTCCTTGGCAGACACAATTTCCCTCCATGTTAGCCTGCTGCGACATGGAGATCATGTGTTCTGGTCATCAGTGCCCTTCTGGGTTCTGACTGGAGTTGGTTTCCCAGCCATCTCTCCCAAGTGTATGCAGTGTTCCATGGCCAGTAGGGCTTCTGTCACCCCTTCTTTTTTGGGGAACACTGCCACCAAAGAGAAGGTTAATGGTAACAGGAAAGCACTAGTCTTTCCCATTTGGCATATTGAAAGTTGTCAGTGTTTGATCTTGCATGGAAAGTAAGGATGTTGCTATTCCATATATGCTGATTCAGGGACTCAGATGAGAGACCCCTTGTTTACAAAGAGAATCTCTCCTCCTTCAACACAGACTCTTAGGCTGAATTTCCCTTGCCTTCACCTTCCATCTGTAGCCTGTAGAAAAACAAATTGATACAGAAGGGGCAGCCTCCTTTCTCTCCCCACAGTGATTTGTGTTTTAGCTGCAGGGCCAGCCAGATAAGGGTTTCCACTTGCTTACCTCAGTCACTCATGGAAGCACAAGTGGCCAGCTGATTGTGGCTACTCTTCCACGTGGCCTTCAAGTGGAAGGAACCGGGCTGCTTTGCAAGAGCTGCCAGTATGGGGCTCTCAAATCTTGGCATTCCACTAGCTAGTTTTTCCAGTGCATCATTTGCCTGTTGGTTTTTAATCTCTTGAGAAAAAAGAGATGCCCCTGTCCCCCATCCCCCCAAACACTCTCACACACACACACTCTTACCCTTTTTTTATTTGCATGGCATTGAGCCCTATTCATTGTGGCTTGAAAAAGACCACCACTGAGCAGCTTAGACTTTGTGTTCATAACCTGTAAAAGACCGTATCTGTTGTCCAGGGACCAACCTAGATTTTCACGGAGTGACCCATAAGCTGGCCACTAAGTGGTGAGTACTTTGACTGTGGTTACCCAGTTAAAGAATTAGGTGGGAGCATACTTAGCATTCCCCATTCACACCATCCAGCCATTCAGTGATAGAAAGTGGAAGTGCATCATGGCCTAGCCTAGTCATGTAAACATTAGCCAATGACAAGTAACTGCTTCTTCCCTCCCATCATTTGGCCCCTCCTCCCCATGCCCCTTGTCACACTATAGGGTGGCCTTGGTTCCATGCATGCCTTGTGTTTATTCTCAGGCTTCGTTAGAGCCTAGAGCCTTCCTTCAGGTACTCAGTCTCGGCACACCTCTGGCCGCCCGGGAAGTACCCCTCTCTAGTGCCCCAGCTTTGATTGTTGTGAAACTTCCTTAGCCGTGCTTTTGTGACCCAGAGCAGCATTGCCCCAGTGAGGGGTGGCATGTTTACAGAATCAGTGATGAAGAGAGGAATTGCCACCACCAGAAGCTCTGCAGAACCTGTGAACACACACATGCAGTTACATACCCAGCAGGCTCTCCCAGGTGACCCATCAGGTACTTGAGAACAAATCTTAATGTCCCTTCTCCTCCTCAACCCCCTCTTCCCCCAACACTGAACAGCTATATGAGATGTTAGCAGAGATTGAGCCCTGCTTCCTGTCTCCTGGTGACATGGATGTGACTGTTCTTTATTAGGAAAACTTTTATTTTTGTTGTTGTTGTTTTTTCTTGTCAAGATATGAATTGTCACCTTCTCCATGTTACAGAGTTTTCCCTATTGTTTAAAAAAAAAACTCCCACAAGAGGCAGCTTTGGGGACAGGGAGTCAAACAAAAGGTGTTTGCTGAAGGGAAGAGAAAAATCCGTGTGTTGTCCCTGTGTCTGGAGTGCTTGATATGCCAAGTTTTTCCGTACAAGTGTCTCTGTAATTATGCTTCTAGATTTTCTTTGTTTTGTTCATTAGAAGTTGATGTGCTTGCTTGACATTTGTTTCATTAAAACTTTTCAACATTGAATCCATTTTGATTTCATCTTAACTGCATTTTAATGAGTGAAATCCTATCATTGCTGCCTTTTGTCTGAGACTTTGTCGACTTTACATTAATCACCAGCCCTGTTGTGCCTCCAGAAGCCTTAACGTATTCATTTTACCAGTTGCTGATTCAAAGTATGTCTTAATATGTTGGTAAGTTCTGTTTCTTTTAATACATAGTAGTAACACAATGAGCCAGAATTCATTTTAATGTAGTAGTAATACTCCAAAGTTGAGATGGAGAAAGTGAAGTCTAATGTTTGTAAAGTTGGTAACTAGATTTCAGTCCCCATGATCAGATTTCTTCTGATGGATGAGAGTGTTTAAGACACCTGCTTCCTAAGCATCAGGCTGAATGAGCTTTCTATGAGCAATTCATGGGCAGCTTTCACATGTGTGTTCTGAAAAGCACTGGGAATAGAGACCTAGACTCTAATCCTAGGCTCTCATGGTGGGGGGGGGGGAATCCTACATGTGCTGTGCTGCTCTCAGAGGCTTGTGCAGAGTATATGCAGTAAAAATAGCATTCAGGTCTAAGGTTAGGAGTGGTAAGCTCCCTTTTTTCCAGTGTCCAGTATGTGGCTTCTTACTCTCTGCTGACCCAGCCCCACAATAGAAGACAGTATAGGATAGTGAGAAAAGAATATGGTTTGGTACTGGAAAACCTGGGTTTAACTCTGGACTCTGCTGGTCATTTGGTCTCGCTGGGCCTCAGTTTTCCCCATCTGAAACATGAGAAGACTTGGCCCCTAAGGTGCCAGCTCTAAATCCTGTGGTCCCGGTGGAGGTGACACTGATGTGTCTTAAGATTGGTCACCAGCCCAGTGCCAACCCGGTGTGCTTGTTGTCTGCTGGCAAGCTCAGAAAGCCCCCACACACCTGCACAGATAGCTGACAGGTCGTCTTTGTGTGACATTGCTCTCCAACAACCACACCGAGCTCATCCCTAAAGGCACAAGGCCAGCTTCCCTCTGAGTTGGTGGTGGCCCGCAATGTTTGGTTTAAAATCAACACAAATAAGCAGGAACATTTCCGACAGTTGCTTCCTTAACTGTTCCACAGCTGTTGAATTAGAAGGCTGTGATAATGCTTCTCCTGGGAAGGGGAAGATTGGGATAGGCTTTGGGGCTTCCTGTTCCTGAAGCCGGATTTCCTGTCCAAAAGGGAGGGGATTTTAATCTGAGTGGTGGGTTTGTTTGTGTTTTTAATGAGTCTGCCCTGATAAACTCTTTAAACTAGCCATTAAAATAAACTGTGCCATGCCTTAAAGAAAGCAGGATGAGACAGTTGAGAACCAGGAAAGTCAAATAATGATTCTTAACATACTTTCCCTCTCATTTATCTTCCCTTTTATGTTTGGTTTATTGGGAATTTGTGTCTGTTTTCCTTGAGTACATTTGCTGATAGTAGACATTTCAGCTCTGTTAATGCTGCATTGTATAATGATGGAGGATTGTCAAAGATGGTGGAAGGGAGATTGGAAAGTGTGTTCAACACTGAGTCAGACACGATTTACCTTCCCTGCATCAGTGGTATACAGAATTGGTCTTTTCCCTGTGTGTCTGTAAGTGTGTGGCATTTATTAAGTATGCACAGTGCTAGGCACTCTGAGCACTGGAGAGACAAATACCCAAATGAAAACAAGGCTAACCTCCGCCCCACCTCACCCCCCCAAAAAAAAAAAAGAAAAGAAAATCTAGCCCTTGCTGTCAAGGAGCTCACAGTGGAATGGTGTGTAAATGTCTTCAGTGGAAAGTAGAGCCATAACTTCCTCTTCCCTTAGGGTAACCAGACTTCTTCATGCACAGTTCATGGATTCTTTCCACTTTGAATAAACAAATGGGTAGGCGCTACTGAGGCGTCGAAGGCATTGCCTATCTGGAGGTGGATGCATGTTTGGAGGAATTGGTCACTTTCCTAGAAGATGACCTAGATGTAGAGAGGCAGCATGGGATTGTGGAAGGAGCAGTGGACTCGGAGTCAGGACCCCTGGGTCCTAGTCCTGGCTATGCCACTGAAGTACCTCAGTGTCTTTAGTCTCCTCACCTGGCTTCTCATCCTTTGGATACTCTAGAAAGGCCCCTTCCATTTCTCCAGTGCTGTGAATCGATGAGGATTAAACACCAGCACTACTGATGGAAGTGAGCATATTTGTGGATATGAACAAGAGGCAGCATAGGCTCATTCAGCCTTGGTAGATCCCAAAGTCCCACCTGGGTCCAAGCCTTGCCTCGAGCACACTGTGGTCTGGCGGCTGTGGCTGAGGCACCAAACCTCTTGGTGCCCCTGGCAGATCTCTCACGATGGCAAGCTAGGGAAGAGTTGTGAAACTGCATCAGTAGAGGAAGTTACCAAGCCAATAAAAACACAGGGCGGCAATAGCTCACACGTGTACCACACCAACATTTCTCAGTGACTGGCCATCGAAGGGGCAGCACAGCTGTCATTGCCCCCGTCCTACAGAAGCCAAGACCAAGGGTAAGGCTGGTATTGCCCTGTGGTTACGAAGTCAGGATCACGGGCACGTGTGCTGAACTCCCAATGGAGAGGGCTCTGAAATCTCAGGCTATTCATTGAACTGTAGAATCAAGTCGAACCCTGAGGACTCTTGAGAGCTAGCCTCTTAACCATCAGCCACCACAGAGCAGCAGGTTCAGTTGTGTGTATGCATTCAATCTCTCCTGTCTTGGTACTTGGAAGATCTTGGGACAACTAATAGGAAGCTGATGCTAAAGAAATGTGTCTGAAAATGTGTTTGGGATCACAAGGAAAGAGGAAAAGCAAGCCGTGCGGCCAGCCCAGCCCCAAGGGTTTGCCGAGTCAGCACATGGTTTCCTGCCAAGGGCGCCTCTTATGCTATCTTCAAGGAGGAAGAGAAATGAAAGGCAGCTTGGTTCTGGCAGCGATGGGGAAAAAGATAGAGCCAAACCTTTACAGCTCTGGACTTGCTAGGCTGGAAGGAGCGAGGGAGGAAGTAAATACCAAAAAAAAAAATTTTTTTTAAATCACACTTTAAGAACATTAACATTTTTGTAAGGACCAAAGTGTTCCCTGGGTACTTAGCTTATCCCAAATCTGAGACAACTTAGCTTCAGTAGAAGGACTGCTAATTGAATTCAGTCAGAGAAATTACTTAGTCTCTCTGGACCGCAATTACCTCAATTTCCTCATCTGGAAAATGGGCACCCAGGGAGGGTGTAGGAGGATTGAATGGTACATGATCACTAAGGTTCCTTCCAGATCTAACTTTTATAATCCTTTTCCAGAGACAAATGATCACGCCTTCCTCCTTAGTTGTCAGGGTCCTTGTAACCCCACCTCTCCCCTCCCCTGCCACACCTCTGTCTCAGAGGAGGATACAGATGAAAAGAGGAAGAGTCCCAGGGCCCATGTAACAGAGGAATGGGAACTGTATCCGAGATATGCAGCGATTTCATGATCTTTGGGCAGCTAGGTGGTGCCATCGTGCACAGAGTGCCAGGCCTAGAGTCAGAAGACCCGAGTTCAGATTTAGCCTCAGATACTAGCTGGGCGATCCTGGGTAAGTGAGTTCACCCTATTTGCCTCAGTTTCCTCATCTGTAAAATGAGCCGGAGAAGGAAATGGAAACCACTTCAATATCTTTGCAAGAAAATCGTAAATGGGGTCACAGAGTCAGAGACAGCTGAAACAAGTGAACAACGGGTCCTCCCCCTACAACTTACTATTTTGGCAGCCCAGAGTTCCTAGGTGACAGATGAAGACACAAGCCCAGAGAGGTGACTTACCCAGGGTCACACAGCGAATGGCAGGTCCACCAGTTTCTTAGACACATAATATTTACGTCCTTTCTCAAAGCTCACGAAAGTGCCCTTTGAAGTCAGAGGGGCGGGCCAGGCTGGCTTGAGTGCTAAGGCCTGAGCTATAGTAAAGACAGTAGAAATGATCAAAGAGTCCCCTTTCTGACTGCTTTTGATTGCCTACATGCTCCAGAGACCTTTAATATGGTAACCTGACAGTGCCACGGACCTTCAGCCTAAAGATGAGGCCTCTTTGTGCTTGTCTTGTTGCCAGGTTTCCCAGCAACCAGCCCAACTTGCTTGACCATGTTTCTTAATCCTGTGCCTAACGTTTTAACCTTTGACTAGCACCTGCTGATTGGCCCAGGTGCAATTTCAGTATTGGCTCAAACCATAGGACATCTTCATAAACCTAACAATCCATGCTATTGGGGTAAGAACAAAGTATCTGACAAAAACTGTTCCCAACAGGAAAGTAGTATGGCAGAAAGTAGGCATAGACCAACATCATACACCATATTCCAACGTAAGATCCAAATGAGTACATGTCATAAAGCGTATTAGTGGGGCATGGAAGAAGTTACCTGTCAGATCTATAGCTGGGGAAGAGTTCATGACCAAAAAGGGAGGGAGAGATTCACAGAAGGTAAAATGGATCATTTTGATTACATGAGGTTTTTGCACAAACAGAGCCAATGGAGCAAAACTGGAAGAAAAGCAGGATACTAGGGGGAAAAGATGGCAACAATTTTTTCAAATAAAGGAAAGCATTCCTAAAATATATAGGGAACTGAGTCAAATTTACAAGAATAAGAGCCATTTCCAATTGGTAAATGGTCAAAGGATATGGATAGGCAGCTTTCAGAGGAAGAAATCCAAACTGTTGGTAGCCATATTTTAAAAATGCTCTAAAATACTTACAGAGGAATGCGTATTAAAATACCTCATACCCATCAGATTGAGTAAGATAGTAAAAAAGGAAAATGACATGCTGGAGGGGATGTAAGGAAATAGGTACACTAATGCACTGTTGCTGGAAAAGGAAAGGGCAAACCACTCTGGTGTCTTTGCCAAGAAAATCCTAAATGGGATCACAGAGTTGGCTGTGACTGGAACGACTGAGTAGCAACAACGATGCATTGTTGGTGCAGCTGTGAACTAGTCCGGCCATTCTGAAAAGAAATTTGGAACTCTGCCCTCCAAACTAT